CCGCAACTGCTGTTGTCGCTACTACTACTGTTGCTGCTACTACTACTACTACCAATAATACTGCTACTACTAATACTTTTACTACTACTAGTATTATTATTACAACAACAACAACTACTACTACTACTAGCGATAGTTAAACCATTGTTACCGAGAATGTCCACCGCACATCCCACGGTACGGTAAGCGCAGGGACGGTGATTTACGTACGAATCATTTTATAGACACGTGTAGCATTCCTCATTCCCCTACGCTTAGGAGTATGACGGAGTCAAGAAGATCGGATACGGGATCAGGCACAGTTAGCGGACGCGGTGTGATCATGCGCCAGGGCGTGCCACCACATCTCCGCCGTGCTCTGATTTGCTCCACGTGTTTGTCCAGCGCATCTACTGCGTGGCTCGCCGTAGCAGCACGATAAGTACAACTACTATTACCACCAATACCCTATTCACATCTATCAATCTTGGATTCGTTAATAATAACACTACTTAGCGTATGGCAACACCTTCGGCTGCTTCGGAAACATTCTTCGTTTAGGGCATCCACTAACATAATTCCGGTGGACTCCCGTCTTCACCCCCAAGGTGAAAGTACACAAGTTGCGCTATTGCGCATGCCCTACGTGCGCATTTTACAGGTCAGGCTGCGGCGGTGAATATACGTCAAGCCCAGCATCCAAATTCATCCGCAATGCGGCCTTTGTGAAAAAGCACCTTCCATGGCAGCCCCGATAGTCATTTTAAATTTGGGGCGTGTCGGTACCAGCGCGCGTGTGGTACATGTAGAACTGGACTCGGCCGACTCTCTCTTGTCAGTGGAATACGGTGGGTGTGAGAGGAGGACGAGGCAGAGATGCCCCTCCCCGAAAGTATTTCATTTACCCACAAGTTGCCACTTGGATGGAGTTCTTCGCTTACAACAGTCGACGCAAGGCACAGCATCGGGGCACCCTGACTGTAAAGCTAACGGAGCACCCGACAGATGGTCTACCGGAGGCAACTATGTGTACCGCCTGCCCCGCGGTGCAGTGGTGACTTGTGTGTGGGCTGATTCACCTAACAATGACGAATTAGCACATGCGGGTATTGACATCATAGTGAAGCTCTCACATAGTCTCATTAGAGAGCACCCAATCACGACCTTTATGCACCCGTTGCACCAAGCTGCAACGATCGAGTCACGGGTATTAATCGATTTCCAACACCCTCATACCAGTGTGGGGTACAGACGCAGTGCTCTCACAACAGGCATGTTATTTTTTTCTCTATGAGCCTACGCATGACAGGAACGTCAGAAAAGGTGAAACACCGGTTGCATTCAACCCGCAGCAGGCGTGGAAGCGTTAAATAGGTTGTAGAGGATGGGTATGACTAATACATT